AGTAGCCAGACTAGAACCTGCGTGTGTGTGTGTGTGTGTGTGTGTGTGTGTGTGTGTGTGTATACCCCTAAAGGTTGGGATGTTGGGAAGCTCCGCCCAGCCTCACTCTTCTCATTCCAGACTCTGCCCCTGAGAACTGTTCCTCCCCTGGAACTGCTCAAGACCGCCTACAGGCTGTTTAAGACCCAGTACATAGATCTGCCAGGGGCTCATGCTCTCTCTCCTGCCTTCCTGAGAGTCACCCGGAAATTGCTTCACCCTGCTCTTTTTATTAAATCTAGATTTATTAGTTCGGTTTGATTTGGCTTAATACTGTGGTGGAGGAACCCAATAACCAGGGATCCAATACTTCACACTTGGTGCTGAACTTATCAGTTATGGTGTTCCTTCACAGCAAAAGAACAGTGACTGAGAGAGACCACAAAAGAGGAACTCACAATTTGACAGTGTTCTTATTCTAATGAGAATGAGGAGAGAGGAAATTAAAAATACCGTCTTACAGCTACCATAGTGACAATTGATTCAGGCAAGATCGTGTATAGTTGTGAAGATCATTGCAGGAGAAGTTGTTTGGGGACATGACAACCAGACAGTCTCAAAACATTTCTCTCTAGATTTACTTGTTAATTTCAAAGTGAAGGATATGGACAATGAAGATTAGGTGGACACTACTGATTTAATTAGTCCCCATAAGAAGGGGACATTATGTCCTTTCTGATGTGACACATTAGAATGACACAGCCTGTCCTGAACTTATTTTTGTCCTGTGTCAATCTTCACGGTCTTCTCGATAGATTTGGAGTCACCTGTGAAACCTGCATCTATCCTAGGAGGAAAGACACACTTGAAGTGAGTAGCTGGGATCCTGGGCTGAATAAGAGAAGAGAAAGGAGGAAGCAAATCCATCTGTTGTGGACAGTTTGTACTCTGTGTGAAGATGCGTTGCTGTGATTGCTGTAATAAAAGGCTAAATGGCCAATAGCTAGGCAGGAGACACCGGTGGGCCTTCCAGTCAGAGAGAGGGGAGGAGGGAGAGAGAACTGAGCATGCAGGAGCCACCAGCCAGACACAGAGAAAGCAGGACATGCAGGAGAAGAGGTAAAAGCCATGGGCCAAGTGGCAGCATGTAGATTAATAGAAATGGGTTTATTTAAGTTATAAGAGCTAGTTAGAAACAAGCCTAAACTGCCGGGCGGTGGTGGCGCACGCCTTTAATCCCAGCACTCGGGAGGCAGAGGTAGGTGAATCACTGGTGAGTTCGAGACCAGCCTGGTCTACAAGAGTTAAATCCAGGATAGGCTCCAAAGGCAGGAAGGAAGGAAGGAAGAAAGAAAGAAAGAAAGAAAGAAAGAAAGAAAGAAAGGAAGAAAGGAAGGAAGAAAGAAAGAAAGAAGCCCAAGCTAAGGCTGGGCATTCATAGTTAATAATTAGTCTCTGTGTCATGATTTGGGAGCTGATTGGTGGGACAGAGAAAGACTTGTTACAGCCAATCTGTTTCCTTACTGTGGCTGCAACGCAACCCTCCTGCCCCCAGGACTTTGAAGCTGTATCTCTGAGTGACACATTCTAGGGCCTTGAACACTCATATTTGGCTTGGAGTAAACTATATTTTTTCTTTCCAGCAGAATCATAATTTTAGATTGACTCTATTGAGGGGAGAATTTCAACCAGAAGGGGGACCCACCCCTTCCTGAGGACAAACAACAAACTGAAAGTCACTCTGAACAACTCCAGTGTCCGAGGTCACCACACTAGACCATGAAGGGGGTGGAAAGCCAAGAAAATGGGTCTCGGAACATGGCACACTTGAATAAGAGAAGGCCGAGGCTGAGCTCTTGGAAGCCTTCTTTAGAGGTGAGGAGAGTGGAGTGTGCTCCCCCACATCTGGGGCTGGGTCTAAAGGAGGAACATCCTCATGACCTGATTTTCTTCCAGGCCTTTAAGACACAGCCCTTGCCAAGCAGCCTGCCATTTAATGCCTTGTTCAGGGAAACTGACTGCTTTTTTGTTGTTTGTTTTGGAGAAAATCTTGATCAGAGGGTAATTGTTAAGAGAAGGAATATGGAAATTCCACTTGAAATGGAGAGGCCGCGGACAAAGGAGCAGCTAAAAGGAAGGAATAAACTCATTACCTGGCTTTCTCTGAAGCTGGAGTTGGGCTGGGCTATGGGGCCTCTTAGAATGCCAGAAACAAGAGGTGAGTGTTGATCGCCATCAGCGAAGAGACCAGACCGCCCAGCCGTTAGTATGTGCTGCTGTTCCTTAGCTGTAAGGGCCCCAAGTTCAGCCTTTACCATCTCAGTGAGCTACTCACATTACTGTTGCTCAATATTTTTCTGTAAAAATTTATTCGCTTTAATAACATAGATATTTTTATTAGCATTTATATAGCTATGCCAAATTTTTTAACTGAAAAGAACCTCAATTTTTATGATAATCAGCATCATTTCCATGAAAATAAATCCAAAGAAAACCAAACAACCAAACAAGGTGATTAAATTCTACCTGGATACTGTTGCCGGGCTCCACCTTTGTTAGAAAAGGAGAGTGGACATGGTGTTAGGGAATGTTTAAGGTCTGTTAGAAATAACCGGATACTTTCCTTGATTTAATCAGAAATTCTGAAAAGCAAGTAGAGGAGAGAAGAAATGAGATTGCTACCTCCCTGGTTGGTTTAGTTACTTAGGCTTTTTGTGGAATAGCTAAAATTAGCCAGGGTTCCCCAATGAGCGTTGTCAAACTTCAGATGATGCTTTAGCCAGGCCCTCCTCTTGTTAATCTTATAGGCTGAGAAAAAAGCCACTACTACAATTATTGAGCCAAATTTGAAGCAAGATTTATTTGAATACTGGCCAAGATAATGGAATCTGAAGAGGATATTCCAGGAGTCCAAGAAAATGGTGATGAATCACATTTTGCAGAGACTTAAAAAGGCTATGTATTTCCCACCTTCACCTAATCAAGGTCATACATCCTGACATACTTCCTTTCTGTTATAATTTTAAGATGTCGGGAGAGAGAGGTGCCATCATGCAGCAGGGTTCACGTGGAGGCCTTTTTACTGGGGTAAGGGAACGGGAAAGGGAGGAGGGGAGGAGGGAGATTGGCCTTTGAGAGCAGGTCAGTACCCTGAGCACTGGCGAGTTCATCTTGCCAGGAGACAGGCCAGCATAACGCCCAAATGCTAACATTTCTCCCTTTTTGCTTATAAACAATGAGTTAGGGATAGCCAGTGGGGGTTGCTGAGGTTCTGGGTTCTCAAGGCTGTTTCCTGCTGACATGGAGGTGTCACATTTTGGGGGACCTGAGAAAGCTGGGATACTGGCCTAGTCCTGTTAGGGTGCTGATTGTCTCACTGCTGGCCAGGTTCTGTAGGGCTGTCTGGTGCCTCTTGGACCTGGCAAGATGCTGGCAGGGCAGAGGATAGGGTTAAGTTTAGGGGAAACTTTTTTCTTAGGTCCTGGTGATGTGAGATTCCCCTCTGCGTGCTATGAATATGTTCTACTGTCATTGGTTAATAAAGAAGTTGCTCTTGGCCAATGGCTTAACAGAATAAAGTCAGATGGAAAATCCAAACAGAGATATAGAAAGAAAGAAGGCAGAGAGAGTCAAGGAGACACCATGTAGCCACTGAAGGAGACAGATACTAGGGAACCTTATTGGTAAACCACGAGCCTCGTGATAAAAATACAAAATAATAGAAATGGGTTAATTTAAGATGTAAGAGTCAATTAAAAAGAAGCCCGAGCTAATAGACCAAGCAGTGTTATAATTAATATAGCTTCTGTATGATTACTTCAGGTCTGGGAAACTGGGAACCAACAAGCAGCCTCTGCCTACATTCTAATAACTGAGAGAGGGGTGGCAAGACCAGGGAAAGGTGGGATGATACTTATCTGGAGTGCATTTGACCAGTTTGAGGTGGATCCAAATCGACTCCCTGGAACTCACAAGAGTTCTTTGAGTTTGCAAAAGGTAAGATTTAGATACATTAGCATTTTCACTGTTTATGAAATCCACATTGAAGAAACTCACTCTTTTGAGCCATTGGGGACGCAGAAAGGATTCTGGTTGAAAGCATTAACACCCTTTATTCTATCTAGAAAACTGTGACAGATGTTTTAGCACAATGAAAAGCACCTTTGAAATCTATAGTTAGAAAACAACCAAAGGGCTGTTTTCTAACAGCTGTTTTCTGATCTAGTGGCTATGGTTGTATAGAGATAGTTTGGCGTTTTGTACTCTACCAGAGCTAGATTAATGGCTTATCAGAATTCCATCGATTAATGTTAAGACCATGAATTTTGGAGTCTTAATATAGCAGTAGCACAGTGAGGGAAAGAGCTGAAACACTTTGCTCCTTTAAACCTCTCAGATCACGACCTTTATAACTTGGATTTACACAACTCAATAACTTGCATTTGTATATTTTAGGTCACTTCCTTAGACCCCAAACATTCTTAGATCCTCACATCTTAAACTTCCATATCCTCACATAAACTTCATACCTAAAACACCTTTTTTTCTATTTAATTCACCAGGAACTACAGGGGGCTGATTACTGAGGGGAATCACTGCAAAGTAGGGTCCTTTAAACAAAGAAGTTATACTGAATTCTGTTTTGTGAGTCTGGTAGCGAGGTAAATTGTGTCTAGACTTGGTATTAGCTCTGGAGAGTGAGGCCTGGGACCTGAATCTTACACAGAGAACTGAGAAGGCAGCGGAAGCCCTGGTTGCTGCCATTAGATTGACAAAGCTACTAGTCCAGTCGTCAAACAGCATCAGAGCTTGGAGAAGGATACATTTTACTTGAGTTAATGATTAAAATGACAGAGGCTTACTCGCTGGCTACCTAAACAGCCATCCACAGTCCTCCATAGTCGCTGAGGCAGAGATTTCAGGGGCACATCAGTCTTTTCCTGGAAGGCCTAGGCCTGCCAGACCCCAGAAGGTCCAACAGACTTCCTGAGGAGTCGGGACTCGTGGGAGGATCAGCCTACCTTTGTCTAGGCGACTTGAGGCAGTTGATTTCCCAGTGTCCCGGAGTCCACGGTCTGAAGGGTGTCTTCGCAGCAATTGAGGTGAAAGGTAGGTTTGCTCAGTGTTTGTAAACAAGCTCTGGGTGGAGGTTCTTTTGTACCCACCTATCTTCTTTGGAGGAAATAGGGGTACTACCAGGAGCTGGCATGTCTCTCTATTATGAAAAGCTTTTTAATTAAACATCGTTAATGTCATATTCTGCAGATCTCTGAGCATTTGAGGACTGTCTGTCTATTAGGTATAGACACTTTGTTTTAGTTACTTGCTTTAAACTCAATCCTGAAAATATATACAGGGGACTGGGTAAGTCTTATCCCTGTAATTAATTACATCAGTACTTAGTGTGAATACAATTGGAGAACTTGATCATTTGTAAAAATGATTATTTGCTTGTACTTCTTAACAGTCTACAATATGTTAGCAGCTTTCATAAGACTAGAATCTTGGTCTTGTATACTTGGCAAAGACATAAGTACTTAGGTATAAATATTTAAGTCAACTTTTGTTAATCTGAATAGATCTCCATAACCTTAGATCTTTATCACCATATAGAGTATATTTTAGACCAAATATATGGTATGTTGAAGCAGATCTAACCATGTATGTTAGAAATTTTTCTTCATGCGAGCTCTCTGCCGATGCAAAAATCCCAATCAAGCCAAATCACAAAACACCAAATTAAGAAATATCCAGGTTTAATGGGATTCTTGCACTCTCGGGGAACGGGGAGGCCACAAACATGACCATGAGGTGGGGTCGAGGAAGGAGACCACGTGTTCCTCTTTTGGGAGCTCACTGAAATACCCTGTGGGAGTGGTCAGGACCTGGCATGCTGGGATTTGAAGCCCATACCAATACAACTCTCAGGCCTGGGGGCTGGGATGGATGCAAGGGTCTGGGGTGTACACTCCTAACTTAACATTCCAGACTCTTTGGATACAAGAATGACAGGAAATTGAAGCCATAATTGTGACCAACAATTTAGGCTCTCTAGGAAAAAGGGCGTTGACTCAAGTCTGGTTACTTCCTGCGGGTATAGGGTGATATGGGGAAGGGGAGAGCTAGGTGTTGGTGAGTCCACGCTCAGTGAGAGGTATGACTGGAGAGGCATCCCATGCACTGTCATCCTGAAGATGTCAGGCATCTGTTCCTTGAGGGAGGTGAGAAGGCAGGTGTCATGTGAGGTCCTGTCCATCGAGGTTCGAGAGACCTGAGCCACCACATCTGCTGTTTCCCTGGAGACCAGAAATGCTTCTATCCATCCTGTAAAAGTGTCCACAAGTTTGAGAGATAATGGAGGTTTTATGAGTAGGCATATGAGTGAAATCAACCTGTCAATCTTTGCCCGGTTGGTGTCCACGAAGCTGGTGGAGAGTCCCTTGTGGGTTGACCTGGGCACACGTCTGTAAAATATGATCTCAGAGATGGGTGGGGTCAAAAAGGGGCTCCAAGAAGCGGAACAAAGCTTTGAGGGGGGTGGCTAAGGATTTCTCGACCCAGTAAAGGTGCTGGGCAAGCAGGTATCCTTAAGAAAGAATGAGAGAAAAATTGTCCTGCAAGAATGCAGGGCAGTGGCAAAGTTTTAAGTGGGGAAGAATGGGTCCCATCTACCTCCATAGCTGAAATTGGTGAGGGGAACGTAAGGCCCGAGTGAGATGTTAGAACAGAATAGGTAGCTCCCGTGTCCAAAGTAAAAGTAATGGACTTACCCGCTACCTGCAGCTTTACCCTAGGCTCGCATAGGATATGGGATGTACCAAATCTGGGCAGCATCAATCCTCTGCAAGGCTGAGAAGTTCAAAGGCTGGCACAGTTTCACTTGCTGATGTTGGTAAGGCTGGACCTCCATGGTGTGGCATAAAGGACAAGCCCACATGGGGGCATTGTGATTTCCAGTGTCCAGGTTGCTGGCAGGTAGGGCATAACCTCAAAGGACGTGTAGTGCAATATCGCGCCATGTGTCTGTTTAGGCCACACTTGAAACAGCTTGCCTGTGAGGTTGATTTAGGCTGGGCTCCATCAGGGTAAAACCTTGTGGTTGGCTTCCCTTGTCCCCTTCCTGTGACCTTAGGGCGGCTGCTAAGGCCTGGGCTTGTAGGTTAGCTGCCTGTTGCAGTCATCTAAAGGCCATTTTTTACCAATTTCCATATAGGGGTTTGGGGACCCTCCTCAACCTTTCTTAACTTTAAGCAGAAGGATTAGTAGAAAAGGAACCTACCCGGTTTTTTATCTGAGGGAGATCTGAAAGAGAAAAGGGAGCATGAACTTTTATAATGCCATTGGCTCCCACCACCTCCCCACCTCCCGGAGCGGACAGAGAAAGGCGGAGCTATGGTGGGATCTGTTATGGGAGGAGACTGGGAAGGATTGGGAGGGGCTAGCCCAGTATGCAGAGGGGGCCAAGGGTGGAGAGATGAGGTAGGAGAGGGAGGAGAAGGTGGGTAAGGTGGAAGTTGACCTTGAACCTTAGGAATTAGGAAGGGAGGGGTTAGTCAGGGAAGAAAAGGAATGTGGAGAATGCTGCTTCACAGGAGGGGGTTGGGTAGTATGGGCTTGAGAGAGTGGGGGAGGGGCTGGTGCCTCTTGCTGTATGGTCTAGCTGGAATTGTCAGGGTCCCAATTGTAGTGGGAGAGGACCCGCTTTTGGTCCCAGCTGCCTGGCTAGCTTACACCCAAAATAATCACACAGAAACTGTATTCATTTAAACACTGCCTGGCCCATTATTTCTAGCCTCTTATTGGCTAACTCTCACATACTAGTTCAACCCATCTCCATTAATGTGTACCACCACTTGACTGTGGCTTACTGGCAAGAGTCTAACCAGCGTCTGTCTCAGGCAGGAGAACCATGGCACCTGCCACACTGCCCTTCTTCCCAGCATTCAGTTCGGTCTACTCCACCTACCTAAGTTCTTGCCCTATCAAAAGGCCAAGGCAGTTTCTTTATTCAACCAATGAAAGCAACACATAGACAGAAGAATCTCCTACACCACCCAATTCCCAGATGACTAGGAATTTGGAGGCATTGCAGCCTTAGCGACCAAGATTGGTGCTGTGAGACACTGGCTACTAAGGAAAAGGTGGGAGTACAGAGCACCAAAACCATGGACATATGCAAGCTCTGTCCATTTGTCCTTATGGCAACAAAAATTTCCTAGGTCACGGAGGACAGTAAGCTCAAGGCTTCCTTCTGGTAGTGCATAGGGAAATTAGCTGTTTGGGACAGATGGTATCGGACGGTCTCAATTTATAAAGATTTTGTTAGAGGCATCCCAGGGCGACAGCGGATCTGACTTTGAACTGCAAGTGCCCCTTTAAAAGTCTATGCCCAACTACGTGGCCTAAGTCTATTATAGCGCGTCTGCTAAAATAGCTCTTAGGCCCAACGGGGTCATGGAAATTGAATGCTAGGCGTCCCTAGAGCAAACAAATCCATCTAAGCTAGGCCCAGTCTTGCCAGTCTAGCCACTGCTGAGCTCAGACTCTTGGTGTGAGCTCGCAGCTTCAACCAGAGTCCAGTAATTGACAAAAATAAGTACGAATGGGTCCCCCCCAAAACCCTATAGCTTAGACAAGAAAAAGGGACTCACGAAGACGCTGCCCCTGTAGCTCAGGAGCCGGTTTTAGCGTGGCGTGGAGAGCTCAGATTGTGGACTGGGGGCTTTTGATGCATGGCCTAGAAAGGAAAGGCTTCCCTACCCTGTGGGACCTCCAGATATTAGGAGTTTTTCCTAATGCAAACTCTCTGTCGACACAAAAATCCCAATCAAGCCAAATCACAAGTCAAATTAAGAAATATCCAGGTTTAATGGGATTCCTGTGCTTTTGGGTGGCCCCGAGGGGGAACTGGGAGGCCACTAACATGACCGGGTTGGGGGGGGTAAAGAAAGGCAGGACAGGGGAGGGAGAGACCATGTGTTTCTCCTCTGGAAGCTCACTTAAATACCCTGTGGGAGTGGTCCTGACACCCCCAGGGAGGGGTCAGGACCTGGCATGCTGGAATTTGGTGTCCAGACCAATATAACTCTCAGGCCTGGGGGCTGGAATAGATGCAAGGAACTGAGGTCTATGCTCCCAACTTAACAATATATTTTTATCATCATATAAAAGTTCATACCAATCTAAAATATTTGAGACTTGTTGCTTCCTTGGTCTAGAAGGAGAGACAATGAACAAAGAGCTCATTAGGACTAAGAAGTATACTCATTACCTTAGTACAAGTTGGCTGTCAGCCACGTGGCTACCTACATCAGGATGAGGTCACCAGACAAGATGTAGGAGAGCCACATGGTAGCTGTTTAAAACATGTCTTTCTAAACAATAGCTACATGCACATATACACACAGTTTAATCCAAATTACATACAAATACACACAGAATTAAATCTAGCTTGCATTCACACACATAGAGTTAAATCCAAGACACATATTTGTACACACACACACACACACACACTCATATATGTTAAACAGGAGTTGAATAAATTAAAAGAAAGGGAAAACTGGTGAGTGCTGAGCAAGATGAAGCTGGCTTCTCCATCTCTGACTCTCATGCTGAAGCTGACCTAGACAGGACATTTAGAGAGGGGGAGCAGACAGACACAAGCAGGCTTTGGAGCAAAGAAAAAGAAAGTGGAGAAAGTGGGTACCTTTGGCAGAACCTGTCACTAAGCAGACACACCATGTGCAACAGAGTTAGTGCAAGAAGCTTATGAGGCCTTGGGGAGAGGGGAAGAGTGAAAGGCTGTGTCAGAGTGCGGGCTTGAGAGGCAGGCAGACAAGAGGCAAAGAGGAGCGCCTGGCAGGCACTTTAAAGGGCGCACGTGTCACACAGCTGATGGTGGGGAGGGACCTGCGGCGTGTCACTGTTTTGGTGCAGAGGCTGCCTGTTGCTGCAGAAACTAACACTGGAATTCTTTAATGAAAGAAAAGGAGTTAGAAAAACTGAGAGAGGGCTTGGAGTGAAGATAAAATAAAGTTTAAAACTAGGGTACCCCTGACCATCTAGCAGATCACTGGCAGAATGTTGTAAAGGTCCCATAAAATACCAGGATATAGGATGCTGGAAAGCAGTCATTTAGATAGATATCTAAGGGGTATTGGGGCCAGATCTAACTGCAAAGGCAGGCGAGATTACATGGAAGACGCAGATCCCATGAGTGAGGT